GTCAAATAAATAAAATCTTTAAAAAAAAAAAAGATTTCATTTATTAATTTGACAGAGAGATAGAGAGAGAGCACAGATAGTCAGAGTGGCAGGCAGAGGGAGAGGGAGAAGCAGGCTCTCCGCTGAGCAGTAAGCCCGATGCGGGGCTCCATCCCAGGGCCCTGGGATCATGACCTGAGCTGAAGGCAGATGCTTAACCGACTGAGCCACTCAGGCGCCCCATAACTTTTGATACACTGATAGGGGAGAGGCAGGAAGAAAAAGAAAAAGTAACTCAACTGCCTGGAAAGAGACACAGATAGGGTCCTGCAAGTGTCATTGCCCCAGACTATCCAAAGCTGTCTCATGGACTTCTTAGGCACTGTAAAACATTTTGGGGACAGGCTTTGACAGGCAATCCAACTTAACATTAGATTGGCTTGCTCACTGGGAGGCACTCAGGGCCTCCTAGTAGGAGACACGCATCTCAGATGTTGTCAGCTCAGCCCAAGGAACCAGCAGAAGCCACTGACAACTCACCTGATCTCTGAGTTCTAGGACCAGCTTTACCATTCAGGCAAATGCTTTGAATTTTTACCAGGAAAGGCACAAAATTTCAAGTGTGGCCAAGTCCTGTGTTTGTTTCTCCTAATTAGTCTGATCATCACCTGGGCATTTACCATCATGGGAACAAAAATATTGTAATGCCAGTACCATCAGAACATCATGTTCTGATGGTAACGTGTATATTGGATGAGGAATCCCTAGTGTCTTGTCTTTGAACAAGTCCCCTCCCAACCCTGTTCCAGTGGGGGTTGTACGGGGGGTGGGGGGTGGCTAATGATCTCTGGAGAAGAGTCAGAGGTTCCCAATGACAGGTTGGTAAGGAAAATAAAGAAGGAAATAGATACACTGCCCTCCAACCTCCAGGGAGTCTCAGCCTGCTCCTGATCAACAAGATAACTGAATGTTGCCTCCTCTGAGGCTCCCACAAGCTCCTCCTTTCCACCTGCTCCTGGAGTCTCACTTCCCCTACTTGGGAGGCCCTTCCACTCTTGCCACCTACTGAAATCTTTGGAGATGCTACTCACCTCCCCTGATCACAACTAATTGCTCTTTCCATGTGCTCCTATTGCCATTTGTCCCTCTTTAAGACCCAGACTTACTGTGTGGAATGATACCTTGTATACAGATACCTCTGTGTCAGCCCCATGGGCTTACCCTGTGGAGTAGAAAACACTTGCCTCTAGAGAGTTTCCAGTCTAAGAGGCACAAATGCATGTATGCATGCGTGCGCGCA